AAAAAAAAAAAAAAAGACAAGAAAAACAGCAAAGTACAGTAATCCTCCATTATCCATAGTTTTGCTTTCCATGGTTTCAGATATCTATAATCTGAAAATATTAAATGAAAAATTCCAGAAATAAATAATTCTTTAGTTTTACATTGCATGTCATTCTAAGTAATGTTATGAAATCTTGTACCGTCCCACTCCATCCCTTTGTCCAGGGTATCCTCACTGGGTACACTACCCACTCATTTAAGTCACTGACATCGCCTTGGCTGGATGATCCAGGAGCACCTAAAGCAGATGATCCTCCTTTGACAAATGGGAAGCAAGTCCACAGTAGCCTGACGCTAAGTCACAATCCTCTGTCATACTTTCCACTTCATCTCATCACATGAAGAAGGGTGACTACAGTACAGTAAGATCTTTGGAGAGAACCACATTCATATGACTTTTATAACATACTGTTAAAACTGTTCTGTTTTTAGTTATTATTGATAAGCTACTACCATGCCTAATTTATAAACTAAATTTTATCACAGGTATTTATGTATAGGAAAAAATAGATACAGTATATGTAATATCAATAGTACATGTGGGGTTCAATACTATGCATGGTTTCAGGCATCCACTGGGTGGTCTTAAAATACATCCCTGGAAGATAAGAGAAGACTATTATACTGATAATTGTCATTGCTATTTGTTTTGAAATAGGAGTTGCAAGTATTCATAATATAAAAATAACAATCCATAAACAATCACCAACCTGTGTGTAAGTGCAATTCTTCTTTTTACATTTGCCACATGTGAACAAGTCAGTCTGGGTTCCACCCGTCTTGGCCATCTGATGCTCTCTGATGGCTTCTTTGGTCAAGTTTTTCCGCATCTCCTTCAGCTCATCACTAGCCATTTCCTGTTAAGGAGATGGCAGTACCACTCAGTTACAATTACCTTCTATGTAAGTGTGTATACACCTATATCCTGAATGCTGTAGTGACTTAATGATCACGCCACTGAACTCTAGCCTGGATGGTAAAGCAACACTTTGACTCTAAAAAAAAAAAGGAATTACAAAAATACATGAATATGAACTAGATATTAAATAATACCAAGGAATTATTTATTATTAGCTTTGTTGGATGTGGTAATAACAGTAAAGACATGTAAGAAAAATGTATTTCTAAAGATATCTCCCAAGTACACAGAGGTAAAAGGGTTAGAATGGGATCTGCTTGCAAATAATTCAGGAAAAAAGAAAAAACATAATAGATTAAAAGGGCAACAAATTCTAGAAAATATATGCAGCTTGAGTGATGGATATAATGGATCTCATTACACTATTCTGCAATTTCGTAAAAGTTTTAAATTACCTTAATGAAGTTTGGAAAAGCTGAATTTTAAGAATATTTTTATTAGCTATAAGAATATCTCACTTTATTACACTTTGCAGATATTGTGCTTTTTACAAATTGAAGTTTTGTGGCAACCTTGTGTTGAGCAAATCACCTGGCATCATGTTTCCTACGCCTTGTGCCCACTTCATGTCTGTATCACATTTTGGTAATTCTCACAATATTTCAAACTTTTTCTTTATTATTTATGTTGTAGTGCTTTCTGATCAATGATCTTTGATGTTACTAGTAATTGTTTGGGAGTGCTACAAACTATGACCATACCAGACAGGGAACCTAATCGACAGATGTCATGTGTTCTGACTACTCCATCAACCAGCTGTTCCTCCATCTCTCCCCCTCTCCTTGAGCCTCTTTATCCTCTGAAATAAAATATTGACATTAGGCCAATTAATAACCCAGGCCAGCTGCTAGGTCTCATGCCAGCAATCCTGCCACTCTGGGAGACTGAGGCGGGTGGACTGCTTGAGCTCAGGAGTTTAAGACCATGAGCAAGGGTGATACCCGGTCTCTACTAAAAATATAAAAACTAGCAGGGGGCAGCACCTATAGCTCAGTGGGGAGGGCACCAGCCAGATATACTGAGGCTGTGAGGTTCGAACCCGGGTTGAGTCAGCTGAAACAACAATGACAACTACAACAACAACAAAAAAATAGCCAGGCGTTGAGGCAGGCACTTGTAGTACCAGCTACTTGGGAGGCTGAAGCAAGAGAATTGCTTAAGCCCAAGAGTTGGAGGTCGCTGTGAGCTGTGACACTACAGCATTATATCCAGGGCAACAGCTTGAGACTCTGTCTCAAAAAAAAAAAAAAAAAAAAAAAAGCTGGGAGTTGTGGCAGGCACTTGTAGTCCTACCTACTTGGGAGGCCAAGGCAAAAGGATTGTTTGAGCCCAAGAGTTTGAGGTTGCTGTGAGCTATGATGATGCCATGGTACTCTACCCAGGGTGACAAAGTGAGACTCTGTCTCAAAAATAAAAATAAATAAACAAATGAATAAGTAAAACCTACAACAACCTCTAAATGTTCAAGGAAGAGTAATACATTTCTCTTTAAATCAAAACCTAGAAACAAGTAAGCTTAATGAGGAAGGCCTGTCAAAAGCCAAGACGGGCTGAAAGCCAGGCCTCCTGAGCCAAACAGGCAGCCAAGGTGTGAACACAAAGGAAAGTTCTTGAAGAAAGCTAAAAGTGCTACTCCAGTGAACACACAAATGGTAGGAAAGCAAAACCCTCTTAAGTCTAGATCAAACCACCCAGAACATTCCCATAAGCCATAGATCCTAACTTTCTTCAATTCTACCAAGGCTGAGAAAGGCAGGTTGAAAAAAACTCAGAAGCTAGTAGAAGTTGGTTCATGAGGTTCAAGAAGCCAACTCCAAAAAATCTGCAAAGGGCAAGGTGAAGCAGCAAATGATGATGTAATAGCTGCAGCAAGTTATCCAGAAGATCTAGCTAAGAGAACTGATGAAGGCGGCTACATTAAATAGTCTTTTACGGGAAAAGAAAGATACCAATCTAGGACTTCCATGGCTAGAAAGAAGTTGTCGATGTCTGGCTTCAAAGGACAGGCTGAATTTCTTGTTAGGGGCTAAGGCAGCTGCTGATGTAAGTTGAAGCCAATGCTCATTTACAAGTCTGAAAATCCTACGGCCCTTAAAAATTTTCATAAATATACTCTGCGCTCCACAGAATAACAAAGATGAATAACACAGATGAATAACAAAGCCTGGATGACAGCTCTTTTGCTTATACCATGATTTATGGAACATTTTAAGACCAATGTTGAGACCAACTGCTCAGACAAAAAGATTCTTTTCAAAAGATTCCTGCTCACTGTCAATGCACCTGATCACTCAAGAGCTCTGATGAAGATGTACAAGGAAATTAACATTGTTTCACATCTACTAACACAGTATTCATTCTAGGAATAATTTTGATTTTCATGTCTTATTACTTAAGAAATATTTTTTTTCTTTTTTTTTTTTGAGACAGAGTCTCACTCAGTCACCCTCGGTAGAGGGCTGTGGCATCTTAGCTCACAGCAACCTCAAACTCTTGTGTTCAAGCAATCCTCTTACCTCAGCCTCCCAAGTAGCTGGGATTCCAGGTGCCTGCCACAATGCCTGGCTATGTTTTAGAGATGGGCTCTCGCTCTTGCTCAGGCTGCTCTCAAACTCATAAGCTCAGGCAATCCAACTGTTGGGATTACAAGCATGAGCCACTGTGCCCAGCAAAGAAATAGATTTCATAAGCCTATTGTTGCCATAGACAATGATTCCTCTGATGATTGGGTACATTTCAAAGTACATTGAAAATCTTCTGGATAGGATTCACCATTCTAGATGACATTAAAAACATTTGTGATTCATGGGAGGAGGTCAAAATATCCACATGAATGGAGTATGGAAGAAGCTGATTCCAACCCTCATGGATGACTTTGGGGGGCTCAAGACTTCAGTGGAATGAGAGAACTAAAAACAGACCTGCCATTTGATCCTGCAATTCTTTTATTAGGTATACATCCAGAAGACCAAAAATCAAATTACAACAAAGATGTTTGTATCAGAATGTTTACTGCAGCCCAATTCATAATTGCTAGGTCATGGAAGAAACCCAAATGCCCATCGACCCACAAATGGATCAATAAATTGTGGTACATGTACACCACGGAATACTATGCAGCCCTAAAGAAGGATGGAGACTTTACCTCCTTCATGTTTATATGGATGGAATTGGAAAATGTTCTTCTTAGCAAAGTATCTCAAGAATGGAAGAAAAAATATCCAATGTATACAACTCTATTTTGAAACTAATTCATAGCTTTTATAGGAATGTCATAACCTAATTATAGGTTAGGCTAATTCATAGGCTTAGAATATGGGAAGGGGGTAGGAGGGCAAGGTAAGGGGGGTGGATGGGGGGGAGAGGGAGATTGGTGGGGTCACTTCTATGGTTTATTTTACAAGGGTACAAGTGAATCTTTCTAAAAGCAGAGTTTGAATGTTTTAACTCAATAACTAAGAAAATGACATGAAGGTTATCTTGACCAGTTTGATGAGAGTATTTCAAAATGTACATGAAAACAGCACACTGTACCCCATGATTGCATTAATGTACACAGTTATGCTATAAGAAATAAAAAAAAAAAGATGAAAGACTTCAGTGGACAAGTAACTATAGAGATAGTGAAAGTAACAAGGGTCAAACATCAAAGGATGAGGAGCAAAGAAAGTATCTGAGTTTCTCAAGATGAAATCCACCTCTAGTGAAGACTCTATCTATGAGCACTGTTGAAATGACAACAAAAGACTTAGATTATTACATAAACTTAGCTGATAAAGCAGCAGCAGTTTTGAGAAGATGGACTCCAATTTTAAAAAAAGCTCAGGACTTTGGTAAGATGGTACCAAACAGTATCACATACTATAGAGAAATCTTTGGGAAAAGTCAACTGATGCAGCAAAGTTCTCTGTTGTCCTATGTTGAGAAACTGCCACAGCCACCCTAACCTTCAGTAACTACCACCCTGAACACTCAGCAGCCATCAAGGTCAAGGGAAGAGCCTCTACCAGCAAAAATGTTACAACTCACTTATAGCTCAGATGATCATTGGCATTTTACAGCAATAAAGCATATTTAAAGTAAGGTATGTACATTTTTTAAACATAACATGTATAACTGCACATGTAATAGACTGGAGTACACTGTAAATATAACTTATAACTTTTATATCCACTAGGAACAAAAAAAATTGTGCAACTTGTTTTACTGCAGTAATTGCTCTACTTCAGTATGGAATCAAATCTGCAGTATTTCCTAGGTATAGCTGTACACAGAAAGATAAATTCACTTTCTTGAATGCTACCTTGTGAGAGAATTGTATAATAGATGCACTGCAGCTATTATCTATGAACAACTACATCTATAAGTAGCAAATATAAATTTCACTTTTTCTATCCAGTTTTCTTTCTTTCTTTCTTTTTTTTTTTTGAGATAGAGTCTCAAGCTGTCACCCTAGGTAGAGTATCATGGCATTATAGCTCACAGTAACCTCTAACTCTTGGGCTCAAGTGATTCTCTTGCCTCAGTTTTTTTTCTATTTTTAGTAGAGACAGGGGTCTCGCTTTTGCTCAAGCTGGTCTCGAACTCATGAACTCAAGTAAACCACCCACCTCCCAGAATGCTAGGATTATAGGCGTGAGCCACGGCGCCCAGTCTTTTCTATCACTTTCTACATAAACTTAAGAAATAACTGATAAAGGTATGACCAATTTTATAGTGAAAAGGGTTCGCTTGCAATTAGAGATTCAACTCTTGGATTCTACACAACTCTTGGATTCTACACGAATTCATAAAAATAAAACATATTTGTTTTCAGACAATGATTTTTTAGAAAGCATGGTGATAGCCACAGAAGAGGGCACAGTATACTGTAATAGAATCAATCACCTTAATTGTTTTATTTTATTTATACACATATATTTGTAATGTCAGAAGAACTGATAGTGATTTATTATATATACAGGATTTACACAGTACTTTATGATTTACATAGGCTTTATAATTAACATCATACAATTACATCATAGAAACTTTACATTCGGGTATACTCACCTCTGCTGTCATTCTAGCAAATAAGTCAGGGGGAATATTCCCGCATAGTACATTTTTCCTTAAATTTGGATTCTTTGCATCTTTAAGATTTGATATCCTACTTCGTACTCTGTTTTTGTATTTCATGTCTGTATTCCTTATTTCCTGATATATGGGTATTAGGCTATTAAGGAAAAAAGGTGAAATTATAAAGACCACTTTTTTTCCTACTCTGCCAAAATAAGAATTCCTGAAATTTCTAAGCAATTCACAAAAACGATTTCCAATTTACAGTAAGTTAAAAACAAAGTACTTATTCTTTAATCTATAATTGACAAGTAGTATTACTTTTACGCTGCAAATGAGTAATGCTTATTTCATGTTTATGTTTGCAACATGCAAATCTACAAGGTGTCAAAAACTAACTCAGGGGCAGCACCTGTGGCTCAGTGAGTAGGATGCTGGCTCCATATACCGAGGGTGGTGGGTTTGAACCCAGCCCCGGACAAACTGCAACAAAAAACAAAAAATAGCTGGGTGTTGTGGTGGGCATCTATAGTCCCAGCTACTCCAGAGGCAGGAGAATCACCTAACCCAAGAGCTGGAGGTTGCTGTAAGCTGTGATGCCACAGCACTCTACCAAGGGTGACAAAGTAAGACTCTGTCTCTAAAAAAAAAAAAAGTAACTCAGGTTCTTCGCGCAAGTAAGCAAATTTTTGAAAAAGAGGCTGAATTTAACACAAGCTTTAACTTGCCCAAATCTGCATTCTACTAGGGATCCTAAAAGTCTCTATGATCACAGAGATCCCTTGCAGCCTCCATAATGAAAAAGACTGCTAGAGATAGAACTGGAGAGTCATCTATCTTTGCCCAGCAGGCAAGAGGCTATTAAAGGATTCTTCTCCGTGGAAGGGGCCACAACAGAGACAGCCCTGGCCCTAATAAGGCCATTTCCTCAACCAGGACAGTTCCAAGTCACACCATAAGCTAAATGTTCCTGCCCTCCCTGCCCCCATGGAAGACCCACCCCCCTTAGAGCCCTTTCGATGGTGCCCAGCATGAACACACTTCCCTATGGGATAATGAGCTCAGGGGACAGAGTGTGCTCTGAGGTTACCCCATGAGAAACGTGAAAAATCTAAATATTTATGTGTGTGTGTTTTCCAGGCACTTTTGCACAACTCAAATTCAAATGCTAGACTTCCAATCACTAAGGTGGAAAAATTAAAATGTTATCAACACAGAAAAAACAAGAGGAATAAAATAACATAGATGTCCTTCTCCTTTCTGAGCAAAACAATATCAAAATAGAAACTCGAGAATAAAATTCTGAATTCTAAACCAGAAAAAAAATTACAATTAAGCTAGCAAATTACATAAAAATAATTATGAATATACACAAAAAGGATATCTTCCTCAATTTGAGATCCCAATTCTTCCTCATCAGCTCCAATAGCAATGTAGTCATCTAAAACAGGCAAAGAGAATCATCAAGTTATTGAAACAGTACCAAAAAATTCCAATATAAGGTAATTACATTGCAGTCCCATTTCTCCAACCCCCTTGCCTTAAGTAAAGACTCCTTTGATTTTCATTAGAATCTGATCTTTTGACCACCCACTCCATTCCTTTTCTGGGAGTCACCTAATAGCCACAGTGCTCCTGCATTAAGAACTCCTTATCCCTCAGGAATGGGGAAGTAATTGGTCTAGCAGGCAATTCCTCATTTCATAACTCCACAAATTCTAGTTGTTCCAGCAGACAGTAGAAAAAGTTATAGGAAATTGTCTTGTCTCCTGTGACTCAGGCTTCAATGCAAAGAAACTACCCTTTTCCTCTGCCAATCATATATAGACATGCTTAGAAAACTCTATACAAATACTTAAAAGGATAGAAGGAAACAAACAAGGAAGAAAAAAGAAGCATATATAAAGAGACAGTAAGGAAATCAAAGTAGAAAGGGCAGAGTATAGAGAAAAACAGTTCAATCCACCTATGGTTCCAAATAAGAGAAAAGAAAAAGGATGAATCTGCGTAAGATGATAAATATTCTTGTATAGGAAACTTTAAAGCAAAAATTTTACCTTTGAAATTAAGTTCTCAAATAAAAATCAGTATCAATATTCTACTTCAAAATAGGAAGAAGAAGAATTATGAACACAAACCTTACATGCTACAAGTCACACTATCATTTAATAATTTAGTATTGTTAATTTTCAGTCTGGGGCAGTAAGTTTGCAGATTACATGTGAGGAAATAAAAGATTTGTGAGCAAGAAGTTTAAGTTACTATGAAATCAGGGGAAACACTCATACATTAGAAGGATCTCTTTCTTGGAATTACACAGTAATAAGCAGAGGCTGCAATATTTCCATGTCCCTTCAGGGACTCCCATTAGCAACAACTTCTCCCTGAGCTCAGCAGCAATGGGTAGCTATCTATCAGCAGGATGGAGGGAGAGACAGTCATGGTGGTGGTGGTGATCAAGGTGCTGAGAAATAAAACAATGTACCCTGAACTTACCTCCTGTTCGAAGAGCTGCAGCAAGCATCTCCCTACACTTTAACCTCACAGAATCAGAAGTGCTTGGTGCCCGAGGAAAAGATGAAACGTAAGTATCTCGAGCATTTGTCTCATCCTTTCTGCTGCTTATGGTGCCACTGGAGCTACTAAAATATACAAATACACACACACACCCCCAAAAGAAATCAGGAAAATCCCTCTTAAAGGAACGACATTACTATTAATCCATAAAAACAAAATTATTTGGCCCAAATAAATAAAACAGTATTTCAGTAACTCTTACAGGAAGGAAAAAAATTTTGCCTACATACTGAGTATTAAAAGAAGTTAAAATTTTTTTAATTTCATAAAGGTGAGCGACAAGTCTCATGTCTTTTTAAAGCAACTAAACATCTTATGTTGATTCTTCTTTTAAATTTTAAACAATTCTTTTAAAAGAAAAAATATATATGATGTAACTGAAAAGAAAGAATCCTGGCATAAAAAAGAGGAAATGTGAGGATGAGACCAGAGAATGTGACCACCCTTGACCAAAACTAGAGGGAGGAATAAAAATGTCTGAAAAACCCCATTCAGGTTAGATATTGTGGTTTCTATGTGACAAACACCCTTTTAGGGATAAAATCTATGTACTGATGAGAGAACATAAGGTCACTTAATTTCTCCTGAAAAACACCAACTTAATATGGACATCAGGACAGTTTTATTTTTCCAGTCAATCTAATCATTTCGATGGTTTCTGATTAACTGCTCATAATAAATTTTCACCAAAATAGGTTCCTTCCAAAACACTCTCCCGACTGCTTTCTAGTAAGTCTTACTACGTTACAGATGTCTTCCATAAGCCTTCTCGAGCACTGGTTAAATCATTTACCTTCCGTAGACCTAGCTTGCAGCATTGTTATATTCCCTTGCCTTCTCTCCAAAATACAACCACTATTAAATTTCACAAACAGATCACTGAGGACAGATGGTCATTTATATCTTCTAAGTTTAGTCAATTCCATTCTGAAGCCTTGTCTGATTTACCCCCTGTACTTCCAAAGCACCACTGTCACAAAGTTTATATATAATGACTTTTCATACATTATTCCTACCAGACTGAATTTCTCAAGAGCAAAAACTAGGACTTACTACTCTTTGCATTTTCATTATGTAGCACAGCATCTGCCAGTGATAAAGGAATAAACCAATGATTAACAACCCACTTCTAAAATACTGTAATTACATGCTTTTCTTCTCTGTGCCTAAAGCCCAACCACTGGAAAGTGCCCAGGTGGATGATGGAGACCTCACTAGCTTCACTGCTGCTGGCCCCACCTCCTACCTTCTGGTGCCTCCTTTCTTTCTAAGCATCTAAGCATTCTTTTTGTTTTTTTTTTTTTCCGGCTGGGGCTGGGTTTGAACTCGCCACATCCAGCATATGGGGCCAGCGCCTTACTCCTTTGAGCCACAGGAGCCACCCGCATCTAAGCATTCTTAAATCCTTAAAATATAAAAGCTCTGCTTAGCTATAAGTAACCCAGATCTAATCTTGTACCTTTTTTTTTTTTTTTTTGGAGGTAAGAGTTTTACTCTGTTGTGCCAGGATAGAGTGCCCTGGCACCAGTCTCACTCACAGCAACCTCAAACTCCTAGGTTCAAGTGATCCTTTTCCCTCAGCCTCCCAAGTAGCTAGATTACAAGTGTCTGTCATGATGCCTGGCTAAGTTTTTCTATTTTTAGTAGAGATGGGGTCTTGCTCTTACTCAGGCTGGTCTTGAGCTCCTGAGCTCAATCTGTCCTCCTGCCTTGGCCTCCCACAGTGCTAGGATTATAGGCGTGAGCCCTGTGCCAACCTTCTCTCTTCCTTCAGATTATACCCCACACTTTTGTTTCTCTAATCCTTTCATTTCCATCAGTGTGTATATGAATGTTACATGCATGTATAGATAGATACCAAACACTTACTTTATCAGACTTAATACACAATGATTTTATGCTTTTGCATATAAACTCCATGTCTAAACTTTAAGTATATGAGTACGGGATAAATATACTGAGAACTTACTCTTTTTGGTTTTTTTTTTGAGACAGAATCTCACTTTGTCACCCTTCGTAGGTGCCATGGAGTCATAGCTCATAGCAACCTCAAAATTCTTAGGCTCAAATGATTCTCTTGTCTCAGCCCCCCGAGTAAGTGGGACTACAGGAACCCACCACAGTGCTCAGTTATTTTTTAGAGTTGGGGGTCTCGCTCAGGGTGGTATTGAACTCGTGAGCTCAGGTGATCAACCCTCCTTTGCCTCCCAGAGTGCTGAGAACTTACTCTTCCTTCAACATCTATTTAAAAAATTTGTTTAGGCTGAGTGCAGTGGTTCAGACCTAAAATCCTAGCACTTTGGGAGGCCAAGACAGGAGGACTCTTTGAGGCCAATAGTTTAAGAACAGCAGGCAACACAGTACAACCCTGTCTGTACAAAAAAATTGAGAAATTAACTGGAGGAGGCAGCCTGCACCTATAGTCCTTGGAAAGCTAAAGCAGGAAGATTGCTCAAGCCCAGGAGTTCTAGGTTATAGTTAGCTTTGATTGTGCCCTGCACTCCAGCCAACCTGGGTGACAGAATAAGACCCTACCTCTTAAAAGAAAAAGATTTATCTATACTTCTGTATTTTCAAGGTATTAAACCAATGACTGTAGCCAGGCATGGGAGAATATGCCTGTAATCACAGTGACTCCGGAGGCTACAGTGGATGATCACTTGAGCCCAAGAGTTTGAAACCAACCTGGGCAACATAGCAAGATCTTATTTCCTTTGCCTCTTAAAAGAAAAAAAAAAAAGAAAGAAAGAAACCAGTGACTCTGAATGTAACACAATCGAAAGCATGTTAAACAATTCATAAATTGCAGCCTTTTTCAAAAGTATCAAGGTCATGAAAGAACGATAAACTGAAGAACTATTCCAGATTAAAGGAAACTAAACACAATAACTAAATGTGATATATGATCCTGGGTATTTTGGGAAAATCTTTTTCCTTTTCAATAAAGGACATTATCAGGGCAACTGCTAAAATGTGGATAACATCTGTAGGTTAGAAAAAAATATTATTATCAATGTTAATTTCCTTATACTCATTATCATACTGTGGTTGTATGTAAGAACATATCCTTGTTCAAAATAAAGTTAGTTCACGTGTATGTATACACACATACACACACACACACACATATGCAGAGACGTGTATATGGGACAATTAAGTAAAGGGCTTATGAGAATTCTTTGTACTATTCTTGCAGTTTCTAAAAGGTTTAAATTATCTCAAAATAAAGAGTTTGAAAAAGCTGCATAAATTTTATTAACAACTACTGTTTAACCCCACCTTTGACTTTTTATCTTTAAGATCAATTATAGTTAATACTAATACATAAAATAACAGTATATGGGATATTACTATGATTACTAAAAAATGAGGAATATATGCTCAATTGGGGAAAATGAGAAATAACGGTAGAATATGTAGTAGCCTTAATGTCCCAAATAATGGTAAGTCTCTAAGTGGGCAACATAGCAATAAAAAGTTTAGGAGCAGAACAGTTTGGAAGCTGTTGCTCTAAAGCAGGAGTCCTAAAACTTGAAGTGTATCAGAATCACCTGAAGGGCTTGTTAAAAAACAGATTCCTGGCAGTGCCCACAGCTCAGTAGGTAGGGCACCAGCCACATACACCAAGGTTGGTAGGTTCAAACCGGGTCTGGGAGTGCTAAAACACCAATGACAACTGCAACAAAAAAAATGCTGGGCGCTGTGGCAGGCACCTGTAGTCCCAGCTACTTGGCAGACTGAGGCAAGTGAACGGCTTGCCAAGAGTTTGAGGTTGCCATGAGTTGTGATGCCACTCTGTCTCAATTTAAATATATATATGTGTGTGTGTGTGTGTGTGTGTGTGTGTGTGTATATATATATATATATATATATTTCTGGGCCAGATGTAGTGGCTTATGCCTGTAATCCTAGCATTCTAAGGAGTCAAGGTGGTGGATATCTTGAGATTAGGAATTCAAGACTGGCCTAAGCAAGAGTGAGGCACCATCTCTACTAAAAACACAAAAAACAGCCAGGTGGAAGACTAAGGCAAGAAGATCAGGTGAGTCCAAAAGCTTGAGCTTCCTAAGAGCTATGATGCCATGGCACTGTATCCAGGGCAACAGAGTGAGACTTTATCTCAAGAAAACAAAAGAACATTCGGGGGGAGGGATGGGATCACAGTGTATGGCACACCTCCTGAGGACAGGACACAATTATAAGAGGGACTTTATCTAAAAAATGCAATCAGTGTAACTTAATTCTTTGTACCCTCAGTGAATCCCAAACAATAAAAATAACTAAAAGATATAGAATAAAAAAAAAGAAAAAGAACAGATTTCTTTCCCACTACCAGAATTCCTGACAATAAATAAATATGGCACAGTGCCTGTAGCTCAACAGCTAGGGCACCAGCCACATACACCTGAGCTGGCAGGTTTGAATCCAGCCCGGGTCAACTGCAACCAAAAAATAGCTGGAGGGTACCTGTAGTCCCAACTACTTGGGAGGCTCAGGCAAGAGAATTGCTTAAGCCCAAGATTTTGAGGTTGCTGTGAGCTGTGATGCCACAGCACTCTACAGAGGGTGACATAGTGAGACTCTGTCTCAAAAAATAAATAAATGAATAAATAATATCCCAATCCCAAACCATAAAAACAAACAAAAGATATGGAATAAAAAAAAAAAAGAACCGATTTCTTCCCACTACCAGAATTCCTGACTCAATAGTTAAGGGTAAGGCCTGAGAATCAGTATTTCTAACAAGTTGTCAGGTTCTCTGCTCTTCCAAGGACCATTTGAGAACCACTGATCTAAATCAGTGTCAACTGTTAAACCACAAACTTCCCAACCACAGGGAAACTGTTCTTATTTAATCCACTACACATATCCTATTATGGCATCACGTTGGATAGGACGAAGTTCCTGGTATGTCATAGAGAACAATAAATGCACTGAGGGACGATCTGAACCTTTCATTATGAAACTCCACATTCATATTCTAAGCACTTACACAAATAGCTAAATTAGGAAGGGAGAGGAAAAGCATAACAAGGAGAATGAGACCAATCTGGAGCCAAAATAAATCTAAAAAAGAAATGTGGTAAATAAAGTAACCATTTAAATCCCTACTCAGTACCTCCATTATCAATTCTAACAGTATCTACCCCTGCAATCACATTCAATTAAACTTACTGAGTACAACATAAATAATTCCTTATTTATGCACTGTCTTCTTCCTTTTAAAATTTTAGAAGTTTTTTTCTTTCTTTTTTTTGAGATAGAGTCTCACTTTGTCACCCTTGGTAGAGTGCCATGATCTCATAGCTCACAGCAACATCAAACACTTAGGCTCAAGTGATTGAGCCTTGCCTCTTGCCTCAGCCTCCCAAGTAGCTCGGACTACAGGTGCCCACCATAATGCCTGGCTATATTTTAGAGACAAGGTCTTGATCTTGCTCAGGTTGGTCTCAAACTCCTGAACTCAGGCGATCCACCCACCCTGCCTTGGCCTTTGAAAGTGCTGGGATTACAGGCGTGAGCCACTGTGAGGAAGTCTTGTTAAAAAAAAAAAAAAAGAAAGAAAAACCTTAGAATATTCGGAAAATCCATTTACTAGTTCCATCTGCATAGAAAACAGAAAGCAGATTCCAGATGTGGGATCATAAGATTATGAAGGAAGTGATAGAAGAGTTAAAAGGATCAACGGCTTTCAAAATAAATGAATTTCTATAAAGTGAAATACCTTTCTTCTTTTGCTTCAGGGCTATTCTGCGATGTAATTGCAGGTTCTTTTTTTTTTTCTTCAGGGTCTTTGTCAGATGATGGTCCATCTGAAAATTTATGAAATCACTAGGTTGTTAGCATTTGTTAAAAATAAAACTGAAATAGTGCATGGTGACAGGGTATTTACACAAACAATAATAAAATCCTAACTTTTCCATGAGTCAATGAGTTTATGTAAGCTATTCTGTTACATATGCATATGTGTAAGGTATCTTTTTTCCTTTTTTTTTTTTTTTAATTGTTGGTGAATCATTGAGGGTACAAAGAGCCATGTTACACTGCTTGCACTTGCTGGGTAAAGTCCCTCTAATAATAGTGTGGGGTATTTTTCTTAATGTGTGTTCAGTCGACACTCTCAAATAAATTCTCTCATTTGGTGGGAATATAAATTCATAGGCCAATGGGAACCTTTTAGGGAATAAAGTATACAAAACAAAAAAAAGGAAAGAATATAAAAATATTTAAAAATAAAAGCACATTAGCCTGGCACAGTGGCATATCTGTAGTCCCAGCTACTTGGGAGGTTGAAGCAGGAGGATCTTCTGAGGCCAGGAATTTGAAGCTGTAGTAAGCTCTGATCACATACCACTGCACTCTGCTTTCTGGGCAATTAGGGGGAGACCCTATTTCTTAAAAAAATTAAAAAAATGAAAGCACAAAGCATATACACCAATATTTGAAAAATAATTTTTTAAGAAGTGAAAAAAATTAAGCTAGTATCCAGAACATAAATAAATACTTCTGGAAAAGTAAACAAAGTACACTTTCATAAAACTACCTCAGGGTCAGTAAGATCCACCCAGCACCTCCTGTGTCGTAAAAGGTCTGTAAGGTAACACGCACAAGCTGTAAGCCTTAAAGAGGTGAGCAACCAGAAATTGGGAAACAACAATGCCAACAGGCTGAGTCAGTTTTTAGTACTGACAAGAAACACTCATCTTTACATCAACCAAACTCTCCCTGACAGTTCAGCCAAGGTATGAGTCTAAAAGCACACCTCTTATCTATATTTTGCTCCCTATCTAAGTAGAGATGTAGAGACCTTTAATAAATATAAAAGAGTAAAATTCTTTTAGATTAAATGAGCACTAACTACAATGTCTGCTCTTTTCTCCCACAAAAAGTAAACCACGGTTCTAGAAATAAAAATACACACACAAGGCATGGGTACAGTGGCTCACACGTGTAATCCTAGCAGTCTGGAATGCTGAGGTAAGAGGATTCCTTAAGCTCAGGAGTTTAAGACCAGCCTGAGCAAGAGTGAGACCCCATCTCTATTAAAAATAGAAAAACTAGCAGGGCATTGTAGTGGGGATCTGTAGTCACAGTTACTCAAGTGGCTGAAGCAGAAGGATTGCTCAAGTTCAGAACTTTGAGGTTGCTACGAGACACCACTGCACTCTAGCCAGGGCAACAGAGTGAGACTGTCTCTCCTCAAAAGGAAAAAAAATAGTATATGGTTTTCAATCAACTCCAATGACTAATTTTAATCATGTTACGGTATGGTATCAGTTTTAAAACTTAAATGAACTATAAAACTAGAGTTTCCATTT